CCCTGCTAGTAGCTGAAGCCGATAAACTCACTCTGGGTCAAGAACTTTATGTACGAGTTCCACATGCAGTACAGACGTTGTTGGATTACAAAGGAAATCATTGGTTTAGTAACAGCCGTATGACCAAGTATCAAGCAATGTTGTGTGAAAACCCAAGAGTGCATTTAGAGACTGTAAATACCTTAAATCCAGCTACCCTTTTGCCACAACCTACTGAAAGTCAACATGATTGTTTGGAAGTAATGGATGAAGTATTTTCAAGTAGACCAGATCTTCGTGATTTTCCTATCCAGAACCCTGATGTTCAATATTACACCGACGGCAATAATTATGAAAAAAAAGGGATCCGCTATGCAGGATATGCAGTAACAACGATAGACAAGGTGATAGAAGCTCGGCCACTGGCAAAAGGAACATCAGCACAAAAGGCAGAATTGATAGCACTGACACGAGCGTTACAATTGGCTGAAGGTTTAAGAGTGAACATCTACACGGACTCCAAGTATGCGTTTTTAACCACTCATGCCCACGGAGCTTTGTATAAAGAAAGAGGACTATTGAATTCAGAAGGCAAAGAAATCAAATACGCAGCTGAGATCCTACAATTATTGGAAGCAGTGTGGGAGCCGAAAGAAGTCGGTATTATACATTGTCGGGCGCATCTGAGAGGAGATGGTGATGTAACCAAAGGGAATCGGATGGCAGATAGTGCAGCTAAGCGTGCTGCTGAATCAGGAAGACAGGAATATGTGGGGCATATAGCTGCTCTTATACCAACTCCACTGTCTCAATGGACTCCAATTTATACAGCTCAAGAAGAGGAGTGGTTAAGGACTGAACCTGGAAAGTATTTGGAGAACAAATGGTATCAGTTAGAAGATGGAAGAATAGTTATTCCAGCATCACTAGCGGTAGAAATTGTCCAAAACTATCATAACGGGACACATTCTGGGAGAGACAGTACAGAAGAATCTCTCAGAAAACATTTCTACATACCAAGATTGTCCAACTTGACTCAGGCCATTGTACGTAGATGTGTAACGTGTGCTAAAAATAATGCAAGACAAGGACCAGTAAAGCCACCAGGAGTCCAGTTTATGGGGGGACTTCCCATGTCCGATTTACAAATTGACTATACAGTGATGCCTAAATCGGGTGGACATCGCTACCTGCTGGTAGTGGTGTGCACCTATTCAGGCTGGGTAGAAGCATGTCCTACTCGTACAGAGAAAGCAGGAGAAGTCGTGAGATTCCTGCTACGAGAAATAATACCCCGATATGGACTACCCTGCTCTATAGGATCGGACAATGGTCCAGCTTTTGTTCATCAGTGCCTACAACAATTGACTCATATGCTTGGTATAAAGTGGAGGCTTCATACGGCATATAGACCCCAGAGTTCTGGTAAGGTAGAGAGAATGAATAGAACTATTAAGAATCAGTTGGCTAAAATGTGTCAGGAAACCCAACTTAAGTGGAACGTTCTCTTGCCCATAGCTCTATTGCGAATCCGTAGTACACCTACCAGAAGGATGGGCCTCTCTCCTTTTGAAATCATGTACGGGCGACCACCTCCCGTGCTTGGTAACTTAAGGGGGGATTTGAGTCAGTTGGGAGAAGGAATTACCCGGCAGCAGGTTGTAGAGTTGGGTAAGACTATGGAGGAGGTACAGAAATGGGTACAAGATAGATTACCTGTGAATATTTATCCCCCAATTCATAGTTACCACCCAGGCGACCAAGTGTGGATTAAAGAGTGGAATAATGTGCCGTTAGGGCCCAAGTGGAGAGGTCCTTATGTTGTTCTTTTGTCTACCCCTACAGCGATAAAAGTAGCCGAAGTGACTCCGTGGATACATCACTCCAGGGTTAAACCAGCAGCAGCCGATTCTTGGCAAGTTACAGCAGATCCAGAGAATCCCTGCAAGATCCGGTTAAAACGCACGACTCAGTCGGAGTGACGAGGAACCTTGTGGATTACAAATTTTATTGTTTCAGAGACTTGGTAAGTGAGTGAGAAGGCCATAATAAAGCCTGTCCACTCACCAACGAGTGTATAAGTCAGGGAAAGTCTTGAGGGGACCCCTGTGAAGACGAGCAGAACTCCATTCCCTGCAGCCCTTACATCCTGGAAGCTGAGGTGCCTTCGCACGGACGAAGACTGAGGATGACGACGAAAGATGTATTTTTAATAATGTTTATTTATGTGTATTTTTATATTCAGGAAGGTAGAGGTACCGACACTCCTAGCTGTGAGGTATGCATTAAGACTACAAGAACAGGTAACCATATATCCCAGACCCTAATTTGGCATTCGCAATATGAGTGTAAAGGAGATGTATCAAGATGTAGATACTTAAATATAGAATATAGTGTGTGTCATTTAGGAGTAGGAGAACCTAAGTGCTTCAGTCCTGAGTATCAACCCCGTACAATTTGGTTGACTCTCAGAAATGGAGATCCTCAGGGGACCCTAATTAATAAGACGGTATTAGAATCCGTATATTCTTCAGGTGCTCTGCTATTTGATGCGTGTAAAGCAATATCAAGTGGTAGAAAGCCGTGGAATGTATGTGGGGATCTTAGATGGGAGAGGACGTATGGGTCTAACGATAAATATATTTGTCCCAGTAGTAAAAATAAATATGTAAGTCCAAGATGCCCAAATAGAGATTATAACTTCTGCCCATATTGGTCTTGTGTGGGGTGGGCGACTTGGGGACAGACAGCAGACAAGGACATGATTGTGACTAAGTTGCCTACTGATCCATATTGTAAGTCTATGGAATGCAATCCAATCCATATACTTATAAATAACCCTGACAAGTTCTTAGATAAATATGGTAATTTATTTGGGTTTCAAATATATGGGACGGGTTTAGACCCTGGGACAATATTGTTTATAGGGATAGAGACTGATACGGTAACCTCCCAAACTCATCAAGTATACCATTCCTTTTATGAAGAGATGAGCATAGATAATAAGATCCCCCATAATGCTAAAAACTTGTTCATTGATTTAGCCGAGAGTATTGCCGGTAGTCTTAATGTTACCAACTGCTATGTGTGTGGAGGTACTAACATGGGAGACCAATGGCCTTGGGAAGCAAAGGAGGTAATGTCCGGTTCTGAGGCAGTTGACCAATTAATATCTACACAAGCCGACTATCATATGAGTGTTAGAGGTAAATCTGAGTGGAGATTGAAGACCTCCATCATAGGTTATGTTTGCATAGCGAGGAAAGGAATGATGTATAATACTTCTGTAGGAGAATTAACTTGTCTAGGGCAAAAAGCTTATGATGATGATACAAAGAATACAACTTGGTGGTCGGCTTCAAATGTCTCAGAACCATCTAACCCGTTTGCAAGATATGCCAATTTAAAGGACGTATGGTTTGATCTATCCATCACATCTAACTGGAGAGCCCCAGCGAATTTGTACTGGATCTGTGGTAAGAAGGCCTATTCGGAGTTACCACAGGACTGGGAAGGGGCATGTGTGTTGGGTATGTTGAAACCATCCTTCTTCTTGTTGCCTATTGAAACAGGTGAGACTTTAGGTGTTAAAGTGTATGATGTGAATCATAGGAAGAAAAGGGGACCCATAGAGATAGGTGCCTGGGAAGATAATGAATGGCCTCCCCAGCGTATTATAGATTATTATGGGCCAGCCACGTGGGCAGAGGATGGTACCTTTGGTTATAGAACCCCTATTTATATGCTCAACCGCATTATAAGGTTACAGGCGGTGGTTGAGATCATTACTAACGAGACATCACAAGCGCTCAATCTTCTAGCGAAGCATAATACCAGGATGAGGACAGCAGTTTACCAAAATAGATTAGCCTTGGATTATCTTTTGGCAGTAGAGGGAGGTGTATGTGGGAAGTTTAACCTGAGCAATTGCTGTCTTCAAATAGATGACGAAGGGCAAGCAATAGCTGAGCTTACTAGCCATATGGTTAAACTAGCGCATGTGCCTACTCAGGTATGGAAAGGGTACAATCCAAGTAGTTGGTTTGGTAGCTGGTATGAGTGGTTTGGAGGGCTTAAGGCAGTGGTAGGTGGAGTCCTACTGATTTTAATGTTGTGTCTACTCCTGCCGTGTCTTATACCCTTAGTAGTTAGGTCTGTGCAAAGCCTGATAGAAAATATAGCAGAGAGGAAGGCTGCTGCACAGATAATGGCAATTTATAAATATAAGGCTCTAGATCAGGGAGAACCAATGCAGGAAGACGAGTGTTGAAGATTCACATCATAGGATAAGTCTGGTCTGGTTCAAAGGTAACTTGTGGTGTATGCAAACCAAGGTTAAGTGATGCCTCAAGTAATTGTAAAATATCAAGAGGCATCAAAGGGGGGAATGTGGTGGAATCTCGGTAAAAATAAATTTAGTAGGCCGAGATTACCACGTGGCATGTGTACGTGCATATGCTGACGTATCGATCAGTTGGTTGCACGAGGCAAGATACGATCAGTAGTGTACGGAGCATGTGCAAGAATACAGGATGTAGTATTCCCCTCCTCCATTGTGCTGGACAAGCCATGCGGTCAAGCAGGAAGTTAATTCTTATTTGTAATGATTGGTCAAGAGAATGTGCGGGTGGAGCTTAATATGGGAGGAGTTATGTGCCTATATAGGGAGCCTGCACTATTGTTCGGCGCTCAGAACTTGCTGTATTTTTGGTGACATTAGTCCCTCTGAGTCCCGATCGGTGATCCAATAAAGAATCTCTTCCTTCCTGAAGAAACCTGTGTCCATCTCTCTGTGCTTTGCTTCCGTCAGTTTCTCCGGTATCACTTTCACGTGAAAGTAGTGCAGGTGGGTGAGCACATCCCTGGGGGTGTCTTGTGGTAGGAACGTTGGCTTTTGAACCCTGTGGTACCTGTCTAAAAGCAGTACCTCTGCGAGTAGGTGTGGTGCCAATTCTTTGAAGTACCCTATCAGGAATACATGGAGATCTTGCTGTTTCACTTCTTCCCGAAATGACCCGAAGTCACAGTTTCTGGTGCCTAGAGCGATCCTCCAGGTCCACGACCTTGCGCTGGGTGTATTCTAACTGCTGCTGCATATGTTGCACTTGGTCAGCCATGCCATTTTGCGCAGCGGCTTGTTCTTCCCCTCTTTGTTCCACACATGCCGTCCTGTCTCCCAGCTCCTGCATGTCTTTGCGGAGCTCCCGCAGGGTGCTGTGTATGGATGTCAGAATATTTCTGGACATATCCTCCAGACAATTCTGTAGGAAATCCTGCGTGACAGGCAGGTTCTGCGGCCCAGGGGAGGACTGTAGCGGTATCGTGTCATTCCCGCCGTCGCCATCTTGGTCCCGTTCCATGAGGCCTGAAGTTTTAGGCGTCGATGCTCGGGTCATAAAGAATCCGGATCGGTCCGTTTTTTCAGTCTGTTTTTTCTGCTTCGGGTTAGTGATGATGCAGTGTTGGATGAGTCTCTAGGGAGCTGATTTATGCTTTTTTCTTAGCTTTTTCAGGCCAGCGTTGTGCAGAGCTCAGATCAGTGCGACCATCCGCGTTGCTCGCTAGGCCACGCCCCCACATAATAATAATCTTAACAAAATCGATAGGTTGTCCAGCAGTTTTGTTGCTAGTCCACCTAAAAAAATAGACACATATCTTCAATGTTCCATTGTTTAACGCTGGGTTATGAGCAGCTATCAGCAGTGCATGCTGTGCAGCTTGGTTCCCTCCAGGGAGGAAAGAGAATTAATTTTAAGTTTGTGCACACACAATCCACACAGACTTTATACAGACATCATGGAACTGGTCATTCTGACTGCCTGATTGACAGCTCTAGGGGGCAAACATTTAAACATCGCTGTAGTTCTAAGTCACTCTCAGAGCTTAGAGTGAGAGCAGGATGCTCAATATGCCAAAATAGAGATGGCGTGGGTAATCCCACGCCATAACCACAGCTGACTTAGTGCCATCTTAATTTACTGCTTGTAAAAGCTTGCAGCATGTACTGAATATTAGTGGCTATTGACAGGCATATAGACTACAACAATGGTGGCAGAGATGCGCTCATGGGGCACTGGCGAAAAAAACAGAATTCTCAATAGACCTGGTGGTGCTTAGATTGCATTGTATGATAAGATCAGTAGTGTGACTGAGGGACATTGTCCTTCTAGCATTGTTACCTCATATTTGGTATGTTAATAAGTAATAAAGCAATTATGTTTTCCTAATCTTTTAGTTTGATATCCATTGCTGAACCTCTTAGGTTAGCATTTTATAGTACAGGTCTCAGACTACCAACTGTTTCACAGTCTACAATATTTACTTTAATACGCTGTCTTAACATGTTCATTCATCCTCTTCTCAATTGATTTCTGTCCATGACACATTTTAGTTGCAAATAATGTGTTTTTTTCTGTATCTATTCTCTGTCTTTACTGTAAAAAATATATTTAAATAAAGATTGTCAAAAAAAGATATAGTGGTGCCTAGAGTGACCCTATAAGCATATCTGTATTGGGTTACAGATCTCCTTCCCTGGTCCAGTGCACCTTACTCAGACAGGGGATTCCATGGAGACTCTATTCTTCATCTCTGGTGGATGCATATCTCCCACGAGCTCTGTCACTCAGAGCACTGCCTGGGGTTACCACATCAATACTTTATTCCATAAGCAACCTTCACAGACATGTATACCCTTTCCTGACCCAAATGTCCTCTGGTATTCCACTTGTGGAGGCACCAGAGACAAGTCACCAGCAAATACAACATAAGCATGTCACTAAATTCACTTACACTGTGCAAGATGAACACAATTGCCTTTTCACCATTTGAGAGAGCATTGAACTAACATGCTCAGTTTGAGGGGAATGTGTCATTGTTGATGAAACAACATGCACCACTATTTGGCCCCGCTCCTTCCTACTGGGCATCTATTAATGGTTTTAAAAGACTGGGCAAAATGTTTGGCCCAATCCCATACCTCCCAACAGTTCATATGGACAAAGAGGGACACTTTAAAATTATGGATGGGACTGGGTGTGTGGATGGGGCAAGACCAGTAGCGTACTAAGGGAAGCTCAGGGAAGGCGGTCCACCCCGGATGCCACTAGGTAGGGTGGTGCAACCAGAGCTGGCCTTGGGGAGGTGTGAGCTGTGTGGCTGCCCAGGGCGACATTGCAGCAGGGGTGCAGGGCAGCTGACACAGCTCACACACGCAGGGGCTGGGAGCAGGACAACTTCTCAGAGAGCTGGGGGAGGCGCCAAATTGGTTAAGTGTGTTGTGATTATGTGTATTTATGTGGTCTGTGATTGTATGTGTGGGTCTGTAATTGTGTGTGTGTCTGTGGTTATGTGGGTGTATGTCTCAGATTAAAATTAAGAAAAGGGTTTTTGAAGATCTTTTAGCTGTTTAGTAGATAATTCCCTAAATTGATGCCCTTATGTGAGATTTCCATATTTAAAGATACCAAATTATGATGATTTTGTTTAGCAGATAGCTCCCTTAAATATGGCAATCCCACAAAAGGATAGCAAATAGGGGAGTTATCTGATAAACAAAGATTGAAGTTAAGGGGTGTCAGCCAGCCCACAACAAGTAATCTGAATGGCTAATGTGAATTCTATGCAGGTTTGTTGTCAGCCAATGGCAGCACATTACCCCATTCCCTAGTGAAATGTTTTAGTGCCCTTTCCCCAATTTTAACCAGGGCCGCCACCAGAAATTTTGGGGCCCTTAACTCAGCTCAGGGTCTGGGCCCCCTGGGGCCCGCCTCCGAATACAGCCCACTGGGTCCGCGTCCACATACCGCCCACAGAATACACACACAGACACAAACACACACACTGATACAAAAGGACACAGATACATACTAACAGACACACATACTAAAACAGACATACACGCATACAGGCATACATACTGACACACACATACTGAGACATACACACAGGCATACATGGTGACAGACAGACACATACTAACATACATACAGACACACATGCATGAGGACATAAAGACACATACATACAGACACCGACATACATACATACACACACACGTACGTACGTACATACATTCATACATACAGACATACTGACAGACATACAGACACTGACATCCATACATACACACATACATTCATAATGTCATACAGACATACACAGACATACATTCATAATGGCATACAGACATACATACATACATTCAGACTGACATACATGCATATATACAGACATACTGACAGACATACATGCATACAGACATCCATACACACATACACACAGACATACGTTCATAATGATATGCAGACATTCATTCATGCTGACATACAGACATACATATATACATATATAATGACATACAGACATACATATATATACATAGACATACATACAGACAGACATGCATACAGACATACATACCTCCATAGACATACATGCATGCATACAGACATACATACATACATACACAGACATACATACAGACAGACTGACATACATAGACATACATGCATGCATACAGTCAGACAGACAGACAAACATAGACATACACACAGACATACATACAGACATACACACAGACATGCATGCATACATACAGACAGACATACATACATAGACATACATACATACATACATACATACAGACATACATACATAGACATACATGCATACAGACAGACATACATAGACATACATACAGACATACATAGACATACATACAGACAGACAGACAGACATACATAGACATACAGACAGACATACATGCATACAGACAGACAGACATACATACATACATGCATGCAGACATACAGACATACACATACATACACAGACATACATACAGACATACAGACATACATGCATACATACAGACACATACAGACAGACAGACAGACATACAGACATACATGCATATAGACAGACAGACATAGACATACATACATGCATACAGACAGACATACACATACATACATACAAACAGACAGACATACATACATACACAGACAAACAGACATACATAGACATACATGCATGCAGACAGACATACATAGACATACATACATACAGACAGACATACATACATACATACAGACAGACATATACATACAGACATACATACACATACATCCAGACATACATGCATACAGACAGACACATACATACAGACATACATACACATACATGCATACAGACATACATGCATACAGACACACACACAGCTCATTTTCCAGCCACCCTCCTGTCTCTTACTGTTTCTTTTCAGGAGGGTGGCTGGGGATGACGGGAGTCGGCGCGGCTCCCTCTTCGCTGCCTGGCTCTCCCTCTTCACCGGCACGCATGCTCCTCCCAGCAGCACTTGCGGCTGCTTTTTTTTTTTTAAAGGGTCCCGGTCGCGCTATACCACGTCCACAGCGCTGACCAGGCCCCTGAAGATATAGGGCCCATCGGGTGGCCCTAAGTGTGTGGGCCACCTCAACCATTATGGTTGTCACCCCCTGATGGCGGCCCTGGTTTTAACTGTTGTATCTTATGTGTCCCCACCCTCATTTATTGTTCCTAGAGTTGTCACTGTGTCTGCATGTGTGTCAGTGTGTCATCTTGCCAACACTACATACAAACTCCACCATTATATATAACCACATCACTGCATTCAAAAACCACAGTACACACAAATGCATGCTTTCATTCAAACGCCAGCACTACGTACAAACACACCCCTACATTCACTCACACAAACTCCATACAAAAATATGCTAACATTCAAACACACAAACACTGCTCAGTGTTAAATACATTTTTTTAAATTGCAGTTGTTTTTTTACATTTTAAAGTTGGGTGTGGGGAGAGATGCCAAAAAGAGGACCCATCCCAGGTGCCAAAGGCAGTAAGGTAAGCCCTTGGGCCAGACCCCCAACATACTAGCTGGATAGCCTTTGTTAACATATAGAGTTACCTAAATGCAAATTATATTCTACTTTCTGGAATAACCAAAGGAATTGTTTAAAACATCATTCTTAATTCCACAGAAAGAATTAAAGATTAGATGTATTTTAATTATATGCTTCAAGAGAAACAATTCTTTGCTAGGTCCCTTTCACATATATTGGACCTACAGTATTATAGATAGCAAGATAAACGGTATAAGCAGGAATTAATACATAACATAATACCAGCTATTTATGGTGGCCTGTCACCTCTCACAGTCCAACAGTTTCACACACTCGACAAGTTAAAAATTATGTTTACAATGAATTTATTGTGTCTTTGGAATGCAGAGGCTCTACCAGTCTGTCTACTGTTTTGACATATACAGCTGAGTTAATGTCTAGGTGCCAAGTCCTTGGTCACTGTTTCGCCAAGTCTTTACAAACTGTATTTGTTTACACAGTAAACG